ACATAAGCCATTTAAAATAATAGAAACAAATTTGACTTTTCAGAAAGCATGAAATGTCATCTCTTTAGTCTCATTTATGTCACAGAATAAACAGTGGAATCTTACATTTTCTTCTCAGCTATTACAAGCAGAATAATCGTTATTTAAAGGGGAAAGGGGGAGTGGGGGGGGGGTTAGTCAGAAAATAATACAACTTACAACTCTGACTAGGAGAAAAAGGATATGTCCAAACTCGAAAATCTTATTTCGTGGATGAGGAGGGGAAATTTAATCTTTTTGATTTTTATGAAAAACACATTTTATTTGAGAAGGATATGAATATACTGCAACAGAAATGTGGGGAAAGATGGGGGGGGGGGGGGCAAGCGGCGTTTCAGTGAACATTTGCAACAGTAATTTCAAATATTTCTGGGACAATGTATCAAAAAAATGTAATCACTAAGCAGTATTCGAAAAAATTGTAAACAATTGTTATACAAGAAGTAGAAAAAACATTAGCATTCCTTTTGACTTTATTTCACAGCAGCTTACATTGACAGCAGCCAAGAAGTTTTAAAGCGCTAACTTAAATAAGTTCGGCCCTTAATTGATTTCCAAAGATTTTGCTTAATCTTATTTTCCGAAGTGTCTGGGCTATCGAGCCAATGGGGATATAAAGGGGAAAATGAGCTACTCTTACATCAAATCTGTCCAGATTCAACTATTAAAGCTTTATATAAGTACATGTACACGCTACTGAGAAAAATGGGATAGAAAAGTGGAAAAATGCCAGCGATACAACTTTCCTTGTAATACACATAAAGCCTACGTACTCAGCTAAAATTAAACATTTAAAAATTATCCGAAAAAGAAGCCCATTTTACCAAATCTGATTTTACAGCTGTTCTAGGAAACAGTCATTTATATATAATAAAATGTTGGCTTTATTTCAAGATTAGGAGAAGTAATATGATGACTTTTTATAATTAACCAACACTGCAATTTAAAATTAAATATAGAATCGGGCGGAAGGTGCTTTAATGATAAATCCTTAAAATGTGAGTCAGGTAAAGAAATTGCTTCTTTTATGCAGAGGTAACAATATTATATTTCTGACATTTTTTTTATAGAACAAAAAATAATTTAGTGTAGACACACGTAAAAAAACCTAACAATGATTCTTTATGATCTTTCTTCCATTGTCTGTAGTTTCTAATCAGAGACATTTATGTTTATGCTTAAATGTAACTTGTGCTTTCAATTTCTAAATTTTACCCCTCGAAATACAACTGCTGAATAAGATTTATTTTATTTTCAAAATGACAGCAAATTATTGAAGACTAAAGTACACATAAAAGTAAAGTTTTCGTCATCAATTCATACCTGTTGTATTCCAACATTTAATGCCAGTATTATGTAAATGTTTACACTTTTATTTCGTTTTTCTCTAATTTCTTGGATCCATGTCTTGGTTTATCTATTCAATGCCATGTTCCGCGCATTTTGATACACACGCGCTGACCATCATTTACACAATAGCCTAGTAACTGCATCTATTTTGAAGATCAACCAATACCCAAGCGATCCTGTCTCTATGATTCTTTATGATTCCTGTGTAGTTTTTCTTTATGAGGGTCTGTTTTGTTTGATAATAAGACAGATCGCTCTTTCTTTGAGATTTTTTTACATCTCTATAATAAGAAATCACATCATTTGTCAGACCACCAGGTTATCAATTGTAACTTACACTGGGATTTCATATTCGGGTTTCAAACATAATGTGACATCTCTCTCTCTCGAGATGACAAAATTGTTCGAACATGAAAAGGAACTTGCATATCAGGCCATCTTTATATTTATGTATAAAAGTGAAAAGTACGTTTTCCGTCAACAGGAAGTGATCAGGAAGTAAAAAAAATAAAATAGTTCCTCCTATAAACCTACAATACGTGACTTGTTGGGCAATTTCTGAATTAATCATATAAAGTATAAAAATTTGCTACTGTATTTGTGTTCAGATTAATTGTAGTACACATTTAATTTCCGTAGACCAGGGTTTAAACACATTTACTTCCTCAAATATACATGTACATTCCTGATTTACAAGAACAGAGATAAACTTATTCCGTCACTTGGACAGTTTTTAAAATGGGACCCTAACTTACTGACATTTAACGAGGCGCAATCTAGTTGGAAATTACGAAAATGGACCGATAATTTTTTTTGAATATATATGTGTATGTATTATTCTAAGAAAAATTAAAATGAAATTTTGATACCTTGTCTTTATTGTTGGGAAATGGGGCAATTTCAAATTTGGATCATTTTTCGTAGTTTTATCCACAATTATATACTAAAATTACCTAATAAACAAAGTAATTGACAAATTAAAAAAAAATAATAAGTGGTGAAATATTTTGCTTTTCACATATACAATGCAATATCCATCCCTTATTTTAAAAATGAAAAGAAAATTGGGGGTAGCATTTAATACAATGAAAGGGGGGGGGCATATCAAAACACAAAAAATATTTTATCTAGCTAGATATTTTATAAATCACAGTGGGTTACATAGCATCAACAAATAATTGTTATGCTTTGTAAGGTTCTCAAAATTAAATACTTTTTACACTATGAAAGAATTTTCTCCCCATCCTTTATTTTATTTAACACACTACGTTGTTTTACGTGGAAAAGAGGGGGGGATGCGACAAAATTACGAAATTTAGTAATATCATGTAATAAATAGGAACCTAAAATATTTCTGGAGGTTGCATTGAAATGATTTATAGATTTTTTTTTTAATAAAACTTAAACTAATGCATGCCAGTTAAAGTCATTAATAAAGAGGATTAGTTAACACTTCAAGGAGAAAGACTCAAAGCGTTTACTTTTGGTTGCAGTGTTCTTTTTAACTCAAGAATTGAAATAAAACAAGACAAAAGATGAATCTGTAGTAAGAAATTGATACCTCAAAATTAATTATGTTACAAATTTGTTTATTTATTAAAAACAATTATTTGTTAAAACGTGAAATTTAATAGAAATGCCAGAATGAGTGAGCTTTCAACAAACACTGTCCAGACCCATACCAGGTATGCAAGAATAGCGAAAGATTTCAGCGCAATATACGTCATTTTAACTGTGACGTTATTGTATTCAATTGTGACGGCTATTAAGGGTACTGTGATGCGACTGAAACGACGCTGCGTAGAAACATATGCGCAGATAAAGTAAATTGGACCTCGGTAAATGTGTTCAGAATATGTCAAGTGACCTCTGCAATAGCGTGCTTCCTTAGACGTTTAACATATGTTGTTTCTATTCCTTTTCCAAGCGCCCGTCACTAGAAATGAAAGTAAACTTATTTTCGGATGACGCCTTCAAAATTGAAGTCACGTGTCACGGTTGGCACGCAACGATCCCTCACTGCTAGGACTATAAGGGCAATGCATATGTCAAAATAAAATTTTGGCATATACAGTGTGTTTCAGCATATCTTTCCCTATTACAAATATTACAAACTGGTATAGAAATACATCAAATCAATTTATTCAGAATATTATTAAAACATTTAGAAAATATGAATTCAACATTTTTTTTTATATATGCATTTAAATTTTCCTTCACAATGCATTTGATTAAGTCTTTATAAAAGTCTGTTTAACATTATCTGTTCTTAGACTAGATGACGTCCTCTTTCCGAAAAAAATTCGGAACACTCCAATGCGAATCTTTCATTTCTTGCTGTGTTCTCAAATTTGTTGCGAAAAGACACCGAATATGTTTCTGTTTATTTTTCTCCTTCTGATTTTGATAATTCTCTGTATTTCCCTGATAATTGTTATTTATGAATGATATTCATAATACAACTGTACACTTCAACACATTGTTTTGCATTTTTTTTTCACTGAATCAACTTCGCACTTTCCCACCCCCAAAAAGTGATTTTTCAAAGAATTTTAGACAGCGCATCCCAAAATCGAAGTGGGCAATGACTGTGGACAACATTTTTAAAGAAAATAACCCCTGAAATGGGTCATTTTTAGACTTTTTCTGCTAAAAACTTCGAAATGTACCAATACGCAAGTTTCGAGATTATCTCCCTTGGTGCGCTCTTTCGTTACGGAGGGGAGTTTTGTTTCCGCGTAAGCAGGCAGGTGGGACAGTTATTTATATATTGGATGCATTGCATTATCGATATAACGGTCTATGATAACTGATTGTCGGTATGTACCCATTACTGAATTAAAGTAAAGGCGTCAATTTTTCTACGAAAAAATAAATTTAAAAAAACGGAACCAAAGGAAATAAAAATCGGAACAAAAGAAAATATCAGTGGATAAGACTTATCAAACGATTGAATAGATATAAATCTCTAATAAATACACACGCATCTGATCATTGGACGTCGGCATTCTGAATTACTCTTTTCCTTATAATAACTTCAAACAACTTTCTGGAAAAGGTTTGTACAATCAAAGAATTATTTTTTTAAATAAAGACTATGACGGTTCTTTCGTTTTCAAGTATCCAACTGAAAGTAAATTTTGTAAATATGTATAGAAGAGCTTTATAAAATCATCAAAATGATCACTGCTTAGCATTATCATCTTTTTATAACATCAAATAAATTTTAAAGGCCATAGCCATCGTTCTTTTATTTATGCAAGATTGTATACATTAACAACCTGTCCCACTTCCATGCTGATATGGATACTTTTTGCGCCTCTATCGTAGGAGAGTTACAATCTCGAAACTCGCGTATTAATGATTTCATATTTCCAGAGTAGTCTCCACCATGCCATATTCTTTCATGATTTATCACATTCATAAACTCAACTGATATTCAAACCTTTCTGAAAACGTAAGATTTTTAGAGCACAATATAGCCAATACCATACTTACTTCTTTTTAAAAATGTACAATTGCTTCCTTTCTTCTTGAGAATAATATTAATTTTTTAAATGGAACGTTACATATTTATGTATTTCGAAATAAAATGTTGAAGCGATTAACAATCTCTCAAAAATTTGCAGACCTATCACTTCAGACCTATCACTTTTCTGTTTGATTTACATAGGCCATGCACTCTTGAATGGGAGAGGTAGAGAGCTCCATGTGAATTGTGATGTCATGTGACAAAGTTGTACACGTACGTTCACCATGAGTGTAACGGGGGTCATTTCTTTTTGCTCTCTTTTGAAAAATCGCTTCTTTCAACACGAAACGAAACTGTTTTTTTATACAAAAGTACACAATAAAATTAACAGTGGCATTGAGGAGTCCAGTCATGTCTACAATATGACCTGCATGAGAATATAATAAAAAATAAAAGTAATGACTTTCATCATCCTCCATTCCAGAAAAGATTGCCATTATTCCAACCGGTAATTCCATTAAAACATAAATCAAAACAATGATCACAAGCATAATTGTTGTTCTTTTGTACCCGGTTTTAATTTTGGTCTGTTGAAATCTACTTGGGCTTGCTACATGTAAATGCTGTCTCCGTTTCCCTGCAGCATAGACCTCTCGGATCAGAAAAGCACTAAGGAAAATCATTGCTATTGTCGGGACTACTTTATATATCATTCCATACAACCAAAGTACTGTTCTCTGAAAGTCCACATGGTTTCTAGCAAATGTTGTTTTTCGAATCCAGTACCCTGTCAAATTCAAATTTTCTTGAGACAAGTCGTACACCTCGTAAAACAGATAATACGGCACCATGGCTAATGATGACAAAATGAAAACCAGTACAATTACCAGTTTTGCTCTTCTACTATTGCAATACCTTTCTGCAGCTTTTGGGTGACAAATCTTCATGTAGCGGAAGATTGCTAGAGATATAGTCAGCCCATTAGAAATAGTGCAAAATGCAATGAACTCGTGAAAGCATATGACCACGATATACATCCATCCTTTGGAATGATAAATTAACTCACTTGGTCCTGTGACTGTAAAAAAATATGTTGCATATACAAGGTAGAAAAATAATGTCGTACCATCAGTGAAGGATAAAGCCGTCAGCAAAATGTTGATCGAGGTTCTCATTGTTCTTTGGGACCAAACAAAACCATTCAGAATATTAAAAATGATACCAATGAAGCAGATTGTCCCGCTGACATAGCCATGTATCAGACGATATCCAACGACTTGCTCAGGAATCGCCTGTTTAGAAAATGTACTGTTATTCATGCTTGCTGTACCACTATAGCTTGATATGATTTTTAAAATCAAATTCAAGGAGTAAAATGTTATAGCATGACGCTGAACAACTCGATTAAATTGCTAAAAAGATATGACTACGGATATTGCTGCTGCCACTCAATTTAAACCAGGAAACATAAATGTCTATTTTTATCTATTTAGGTTTGTATTTTTTACATAAGCACTAAGCAAAAATCAAATCATTTATTTCCTAAAGATGGATTGATGAGAGAGAGAGAGAAATCAAAATAATTTTTTTCTTAAACTCTTTACATTATTCTAATATTTTATGCTTTGATCAGCAATTTGGTGGCATGTGGTTATGCAATAAGATTTAAAAAATTCGAACATGGATCCTTAGAAATTCGAAAAAAGTGTGGATTAAAAACCATGCTTTAATGCTTTAAATTAGAACTCCATCTACTGTTTTTGAGGTAGTTAAAGAGATCACTTAGCAGACGACTGGCGAAGTCTGTTATTGGACTTGCAATCGTTTCCAATATCTCTTACAATTTTGGGTTTCATAATGTGTGACATTGTGCTCAGGTTGCAGAGCACTATCAGCCATGTATCAGACGATATCGATCGATTCGTTCAGGTATCACCCGTTCAGAAAATGTACTGTTACTCAGGCTTTCTCTACCACTTTATGTTGCCATCTAGATAGATCCAACATATAGTGCAATTGCCTCATCTGTACATTTGATGTGTACGAAAGCCCAGAAGGCTCATTCGAGATTCGAGTTTCGAAATACGAGATTCGAAATTCGAGTTTCGAGATTCAAGATCCAAAATAACCAATCAAAAAGCGGATTCAATATTTGATTACTCCCCTTTATTAAGTTTTCACTATCAAGAAATCATTGAATATATTGTTAACAAATGGGTCATTTGCTTGAATAATAATGCAAGAAAAAATTTTATATATATCAAAACAAAATAGAAATGAATTTTGGGTAATGTTTTGAAAAATATGTATAAAATCTTATTTTCCTCATTAAACAAAACAATAGATACATACATGTATATAGAATATTATATGGTCTTATCGTTGAATTGCGAAATCAGCATGTCGATAAATTATTTAATATGCGCATTGATGAGGGAGAAAATAATTATTATTGATATGAAATACTAAGGATCGTCTTTACACTGCACAGGAATTAAATTAAGGATACATTTCGTTACATTTAAGAGTGGATTTATGCAGTTAGACTGATCTACTGTTTGATATGGAATAAAATAAATTCCAGTCTGTATTGTATATATAATTTTTAATTAATTCAAGTATTAAAAGCCTTAATTAAAAACTTAATTTTTATGTATTTCTCCTATTGGGATACAGTGGTATATATTCCCTTTGGCTAATGTGTACGCTAATATGAAGGCACAGATTTCACCTAAAGCGCATCATTGCCGAATTGCAGATAGGCAAGGAGGGAGTCGCCCCCTCTCAATAGAAGGGGGGGGGTCGGAGGACCACTTTCTGCGATCTTGGAGACATCTATCATTGTCATTTTTCCAGTGAATATAATTATAAATCATTTAAACATATTTTAATGATACAGAAATTAAAATCTTCATGACCACTTTTAATAAAATTGAGAAATTTTATAATCCTTACACAGTGCTTGGAAATTATGGAAACTTCTTTACTGAATAATCTATATAATTTTTAAAATGTTTTATGTTTGACTCCATACTAACCCAACCTAAAAATCAAAAGTTTTGTATACTGTAAAGGTTGGATAGGCATAAAAGTGTGCATTGCTTAAAATACTTTTATTGCCTTTGATGAAAAAATATTCTAGTAACTGGTAAATAAATAAGATTTATGATCAACTTTCCCCCATTTTTCAACCAAATACATGTATCAATAAATATTTTTTTACATCAAGAAAATGATGTGTAGGCTACAGCCTTTTTGCCTATATGGAATATACACCATTGGGAAAGCAAACGCGATTTTTTTATCACTTCTACGATGTCTTTCAAGATTTTCTGTGTACACTAAAAAGGCGTACATGAACTAAGTAATTTTAATGCGTACTCCTTTAGGCTATACGATTTTTTCAAAGTCCTGAAGGTGTATAAAGGGTCCATTATTTTGTTAAAATAATTAAATTTTTTTATCATTATTAAATACTTTTATATCTTTTTTTTCTCTATGGCCATTACATCATGTATTGAAACTTGTGTATTGATTGGTTATGTATCTTGCGAGACCCGAGCGGTTTCCTTATTATAGAATATATAATTATTTTGCCCATGCATCGCAAGATTGACACTGACTTTGTCTACCGTTGTAATAAAATAAACAACATAGCCATTCTCTCCCTCCCCAACCCATATTCCCCTCATATTTTTTACCGATATAAATTACTATAGAAAACATAGCAACTTTATTCTTGTGTCCTTTCAAAAATAACGTCTAATAACGTGATAACCCGGTTTTTTTTTTTTGGGGGGGGGGGGCTTTGCAGTGATTTTTTATTTTATTATTTTCTACGGGCCAAAACAAAGAAAAATCATTATCTTTATTAAGCATATATATTTCAGCTATCTGTACTTAAGGGGCTGTCTCTTGGTTTCGCAAACTTGGTCACTGGTCACTTTCTAACACCTTGTCACAAACTACATCCACTTCAGTGGCGTAGCTTCCATTGAAGCACGGAAGCACGTGCTTCCACATTGTTCGGTGGGGGAAAATGAATTCATAAAAAGTTACAATGCTTTTCAAAAATAAATTTGAAACACTCTCCGAAGAAAATACTGAACTGTAGAAAAAGTTTGCATTATTTGTTTAATATTTTAATTTTTTAATTTATATTAAATTTATGAATATCATTTCAATATATAATTCATAAGACTTAAGTTCATGAAAACATTCATGTATGATTGAAATTTCAAAAGCATTTTATAAAGGATAATACAAACTTAGTGTAAGATGTATAACATTGAATATATGTAAAATGCATGTAGGTCTATAACAGGCTAATAATAAGGACATCTGGGAGAACTGCTGCTAAAAAGTATTTAGAAAAAACAAACTAACATTTAACATTTTATGGTTTAAAATGTTATTAACCTTTTTAAAGTCGATCGTCACTTGTCTAAAATGCACCAGCTTCCAGGGGCTTCGCCGCCAGAGTCCCCAGGACTTCGCCTTGGTCCCACGGGGGCTTTGTGCCCCCCCCCCTCCCCCAGCATTTTATGCTTCCACATTGATCGACCCCAAGCTACGCCACTGCACTTTAAAACTCGTGTTGGTCACTGGTCACTTTCTAATACCTTGTCACAAACTATATCCACTTTGAAACCCGTATTACTATTTATCATTAATCGCTAGTCACTTGTTTAATTGCACACTAATAATTCTCATCGACTACAATATGCCCCCTCCCCCCGCCCTTTGCTCTTTGAATCCGATGAACAATATTTATTATTATGACATCAATCCTGTAAACAAAGTAGATAATACGATATAGATATTCTTGATATAAATCTATTATAATGTTTAAGAAGTTATAATATAAATTTTAGCATATTTTGGAGACCAAAAACCCAATATTTTTTTTCTAATTTCATTCTAATATATATAACACTCTTTCTTGCAAAGGGGAGTAATTGAATCTTAAACCGGCTTTTGATTGGTTAGTTTGGATCTTGAATCTCGAAACTCGAATTTCGAATCTCGAATTTTGAATCTCGTATTTCGAAACTCGAATCTCGAATGAGCCTTCTGGGCTTTCGTAGATGTGTGTTTTGTTTTACTATGAATTTTTTTTGGATAATATTTTCAAGTATATCCACGCATGTTTATACACAGGGAAGCTAATACTATTATGAAGTCACAATAAAGATAACTAAGATCGTAATGAAAATATTACAATATAATGGAAAGTCCAATTACGAATACATTTTTTTTCCGGTTCAAACATGGGTTCAACTAGGGTATACGGAAAAGTAGATCCGTAAAACCGATTAACATCTTTCAGATTTAAAACAAGGAAAGAAATAGTTCCTTTTATTACACAAAAAGTGAGTGTTTTGCCTTATTACGTCAAAAAGTCCACAAGAAAAAAAGTCCACAAGAAGAGTTTTTCCCTGAATGGGAAAAATTGACACTTAACCTGTATTGTCATCACAAAGGTCGACAGGTCGACAGTTGACACCTAAACTCTTATCTTTCAAAATAAACGTCGACAGGTCGACGCCACATTGCTAAATCTTATCCATCATAACAAAGGTCGACAGGTCGACAGTTGACACCATTGGGATACTATTTTCACTTAAAAAAGTTAACAGTTGATACCGGTTAGGTTTCATTTATATCTCAAAACAAAAGTTGACGGGTCGAAAGTTGACCACCTCTCGATATTCTTTTTACCCTCATAACATCCTCTCGAACTAATAAACTTTGCCATGCGCAAACAAACACAAGACATTACTGTAAGTCTTGTAAAACCACTCAATTGATCCCTCCCAACCGAGTTTAGGGTTAGTCCTCTAACACACCTGATGCATAAGGGTTAATCATCGAAATCTCCTGAGAGTTAAGGGTTAGACCTAGAACCCATTGGAAAGACTAGGTTTAGTCCTCGAACCCACCGGAAAGATAAGGGTAAGTCCTCAAACCCACCTGAGGGATTAGGGGTAGTGCCCAAACCAACTGGAGATAATAATCCGTCGAACTGTCAACCTGTCGACCCAACAAACCGTCTACCTGTCGACATGTCAACTCGTCAACCCGTCGATTCGTCTACCTGTCGACCTGTCAACCTGTCGACATTTCTTCTTGAATACATGTAGACTTGTCAAGCAAACAATCTGTCAACCTGTCGACCTGTCAACCAAACATTCTGTCAACCCGTCGACTTGTCATCCTGTCGACCTTTCAACCTGTCTACATGTCCACAATTTTACCAAAATGTTCTTACGCCTCTCCTCATATTCTTCAGCATTGCAAATTAATTCTTCATCCCTTT